ATATATATATATATATATATATATATATATATATATATATATTTAAATTGTAGGAAAAAGAATAAAATGTTACTGTAAATAAATTAAAACTTCTTATGTGATACAATAAATAATAATGTAAATTCTGCTAATACACATATCGACAGTTGAAAAACAATGCCTCAAATGTTCAGCTTTTATTGATTAAATGTTGATTTCAATTCAAAGAAGTCTCGTCTCTTCTATGGATTGAAAGTAATATTTTAACAGAAGAAAAATTGTATATACGAGGTAATATTTTTGAACGGTTGATATCTATGATACTATGAGAAACGGGAACCAACTGCACATTATGTACACATATGAGATTACGCGCATATATGCTTATATCGTTATATTTACATTTACATAAATCTGCATTAAATAACCAGTTAATTTTTAATAGAGATAAGGAGGAGACACTTTTGGCGGTTATTCCCAAAATTGATATTAAAATTTAATGTTAATTGTTGCTCTGCTATTGTATATACAAGGAAATAATAATTATTTTACCTGTAATATTGAAAACAATGGAAAGTAAAAGTTCCGTAACATAGGATCGGTATAAAACATTTATCAATGAATTATTGAACTATGATCATTTTGGTAATAGCACAAACTGATATAAATATTATGTAAAATGAATAATTACACAATATTATTAATAAATATAAGCGTAACTTACGTAATTCCCTTTCGATAGGGTATAATAATCATAACGCATGTACAGAAACATAATTCGCGTTAAACAAAAATATACTATGCAATAAGGAATGTGTAAATAAATGATTAAAATATGCTTTAGGGCCGATAGCGTTTAAATTCTTACTATAATAATTTATTTTTTAGCAAACACATTCTTTGCGAATTGTAATGGTATCGTTCAGTGAAGGTATCGCAAAAGTTTCATGTTCAATTTAATCCTTATTTAATTATGATTTTCCTTTATTTTTCTTTTCTTTTTACGTGTACACGCATTTCTCTTAGTATCATTTGTGTGTAGTCGTAGTTGTAAATGTATATTATTTAATTTTACTAAAGGTATCTGAAGAATAAATAGAACTTCAGACATTTTAATATGAATTTCATTTAATAACTTTTCTTCATTTAATCATTTACTTTTGACATACCTTTACTTTGTAAGTTATTTAACACTCTAATGCCTTGGAATGTTAGAAATGTGTAATAATTTTTAAATACATGTACCTTCGCAAAATAAGTTTATCATAGGTATTTTTTTAATAGCACACAGTCCAATTTCCTTTTATTAAAGTGAATAACTTTATTAAATTAGTGTCTAATTAAATCTTTATTTGATCACATAAATTCGAACAGTTAATAATTGACTTTAAGACAACGTAACAAATTTACAGATGGTAATAGAAGAAAGTAACTACGACGATAATTATGTATATTAACACTAAACCTGCCGACACTTCATGTATACATATTCCTACCGTGAGTGGTCAAACGACCACTTTAAAAAAGAAAAGAAAAAAAAACAAAAAAAAAAAAGAAAAATACATATATTAAAATAAATATAGAATGAGATTTTAGTCAATTCGATTGCGAGTAATATATTTTTTTTTATTTAGAAATGCATAATGTACATTTTATGCGTGCTTACCGCAATTCTTACAAATTACAGGACGCGGTCATTTGACCCTGCGTGATAGGTTTAGTGTTAAAATAATTGTATTCAATTAGACGCTAAAAAAGCGAACACGAAATAAGTTATGCGAGTAATTACGAATAAAATATTAAATATAGATTATGCCTTATACTAAGATGTATAAGTTAGACGATAATATCTCGTTGAATTAATTACTGCTTGTAATAGGCAAGTTTTCGCGAACAATTAGCCTCACTGATTGACATGCATTTGCCAAATTGTACGCTCCATTCTGCGTCCTCGTCGCAGGCGTATACCGCGGTCTTGACGCCCTTGCAATAATATACATTTTTGCAAGAGACTGGATCAGGGAAAAACTTGCCTTCGGAGCCCTTGTAATTCTTGCAAACATTCGTGATTGGACATCTGTCAGAATTATCGCAGACCTGACTGTACGGGTTGAAATATTTTCCTTGGGGACATTCTTGGAGTAATCTTCCGTTAACGGTACACTGGTAGAACAAGTAGCAACGCGTTTCGTGTGGTAAATTGGTGCCCAAGGGGGTATTTGAGCAAGTCCACGATGGATCCCATCCAACCGATCCCGATGGTGTTGTCTTACTTACTTGTCCTGATTTACAACCGGCTCTTGCTGGCCAATCGCAAACTTGGTACAAAGCGTTGAAGTGTAATCTTCGTGTCTTAGCTTTGTTCATGTATGGGCATTCCATCAAAATCTTGTCTCCGGTTTGACACTTATAAAATTTCGTGCAATCGCTTTCGTGTTTTATATGTACAGTATAATCATCTGAGTCTACGTCAGGACATTCCGTTGGGATCGGACGTATAGGTACATCACCAGCAAAAACCGCAACCAGGGTAGCCGCGAATGCGACTGTTACCAAAAGCCCACCTGTTCAAATGTTTCATATAAATAATAACTTAATCGTTCGACTTTATAACAATATTTCTATCTATTCAACACTTTTCTATCGTATTGACTAGCCAAATGAAACAAAAAAAAAAAAAACGAAAAAACAAAAAACAAAAAAAAAAGAAGTACCCTCGCGAATATATACGATAATTTAATTAAGCGTTAAGTTTCTTCAGCAACTTGCCTTTCATGATGATAACCGAACGTTGATATATAATTTTTCCTTTGTATTTGCTCTTTCAGCTTAATTGATCGTTAACTGGTTCTGTCAAGAAAAAAAAGTGACTTATATAACCGTGTTCCAACCCTCTTATCAATTTTTTTTTTTACATTTTATATCTTATATATATTATTTTATCTAATCTGATTTTAATTTTATCATTACAGACTTTGGCATTTTTTTTCTTTTTTTTTTTTTTTTTTTTTTTTTTTTTTTTTCAATTTTATAAGCCCAAAGGTTATAATTAAAATCTCATCGATTTTTCGGAAATACGAAATAAATATCTATCGGAATGATATATCATTTTATATACGTCGAAATGATTAATACGAAATTAATCATTTGCCCATCGATCCCTTCCTACCTATATTCGATTACATTTATTTCCTTTAGGTATATAACTACACATATATATGCATATACACGAATATTTCGTTTATTCGTGTTATTTGATATAAAGATAAAAATTTGACGAATAAAACACACATTGTATTCTATTAGAAATATTTATTGGAAGAAAAGAAATATAAAAGAAATAATTATATATGCAATGTATAAATATATCATAGTTATAAATGCACGAATATATTTATCAAACGTAGGATAAATGATGGTTATTGTCGAGTGCCATGTACTTTGACCACCCTAATGAATAAGACGATAATTGACGAATCGTGCTAACTACGTCACCATTCATAGCTAAGAGTATGACGAATCGCTTAAACTCGTTCGACAAAATTTGATTTCCGAGATAACCGATTATTGTTCGAAATTTAACGAACGGTAGTAAAGCATTTGAAAATAATCTCTTTTATCTAATTAGTTGACGTATAAATAGTCATATCTATTCATAACACGTATAAGATTCATTCGATGTTTTATTGATTATCCATCTTAACAAGGAAAAACAACAAATGTTCAAGCGTTTTTAAATACATTCTAACGTTTTATGCACAAGACTTTGATAAGTATAAAGAAAGAATTCTATTTTTTTCAGAGATAACAAAATAGATTTCATGTATCGTAGACAATATGTTTAAAAGGTTTATCAAATTCCTGATAAATAAATCGATTTATAGAGATATTCGTGCTCGATACGTGACATACTTCAAATATTGCCTAAGCTCTCCTTATTCTTTCGGCATATTGCGTTTGTACGATTTCTAGAATGATCGTTTTGCATTCTAATATCGATCAATCGGAACTTCGAAGAAAATGTCAAGGCCTTATTTCATCAAAATCTTACATTATCCGCATTTAAGACAAGAAATTATTTGAAAATCTTTCGATATATATTTTTTGGGAATGACGTATTCAGAATTCGATTGCGTTGTCACTTCGAAAAATAAAATATTAGTTTTTATTGGTCCTTGGTTGTCATGTTATCGATTGTTATTAGGCAACGTTGTGTTATCGTTCAAAACAATTTATATCTTTAATATATCGGGAAGTATCAATGATTTGGAATATTAAAAGTAAAATATTATTGCACAGGTACCGTTGATTTAAAAATTTTAATTCAAAGAGAATAATTATTTGTATCGTTAATATATATTTCGTAGATATGAATAGATTTAAATGCGATCCTTAACACGAGGGCACAAATTTATTATCTCGAAACTAACATACAAGTAGAGAAATAGAAAAGGATAGGGCAACATATTCCAAGTTTTATCACCATAAGAAGATTTGGATTAATCTTGCAAAGGATTCGTCTTGCAAGCTTATACCATAATCCTTGGACTATGCTTGTTGCTCATATTTATTTTTAATATAAGATAATTAATAAAAAGAAAAGATAATTAGAGTGTGGTTGAAAATTGAATAGAATCATTTCTTCGTGCTACTTCTTTTCGCTAATCGAACTTTGTGACCTCATTACGATATTGATCAATTTTTTTATCTTTATTGTGAAGAATCCAATCTCTTCTTACGTATTTGCAAAAATATCGCGATCGAGTGAACTATCTTATCTCGAGAATGATAGAGACCTTCGTTGGTCATAAGTTTAGGGCAGGTTTCGACAGTTTTGATTATTCTATTAGACATGAATCACGTATAGTCGATGCAAAAGACAATTATACTTGGATCAACGAATACATGCGTTTATATGCGTTTTAATAACTTCATTTATCCTTAATGAGCGAATTCCAAATTAAATCGTACGAATTTTCAACAATTTGTACTTACTAACGATATATATATATATATATATATTCTATTTAATTTCATCTCTAGATCAATGAGAAAAATAATATAATATCTCTTGGATTGCACAATATTAGATTATCGATAATATTGTATTATTTCTCACGTTTATTTGAATTTCAGCGTACACAGGTTGGAGGAACACGATCGAATAAAAAATTCATTACAATTGGAGTATTGCGATTGCGAGTATTCTGATAAATAAATTTAGAATCAATTTTGAAATGATATCGGTATTAAATAAAAAGTTACATTAATTTGAGATAAACAACAGGGATTGTGTTGTAACTGTTTAATAATATGTTACAATTTAAGGGAGTATGAATTTAAGAAGAACAAAAGAAAAGGAAGAGGGTGGGGGGTTACATTATCTTTCGGAGGAACTACCCTGTTTTATACTTAGAAGAGAGAAACACTAACGGACGGAACAACAGAGACGTTGACAATTTCAAGAGAAAACTTTGCCGAAAGCGTAGCTATCTCAGCTCGTTACCTCAGGTTTCCGGCACGGTACGGCGTGCCGCTTTCTTCCATCGGCCAAGTTTAGAGAAAACTCGCGCCTCCTGTTCTCTATTTTATTTTCGTTATATAATTTTCCCTTGCTTTAGAACAGTGAACCACCCGTAACCGAGTTTTGTCAGATAAAGTAACCGAGATAACAAACTGGCAACGCGTACAAGACAATTCTTGACAGTAACTAAATGGCCATTTTCTTTCATGTTTTTCACTTTTCTTATTTAAAGAATAACGCTGAATATATTCTATACGCGAATGTGTATTCATTGGAAAATAATATAAAAGAAAAATATTACGGTAATTCTATGAATTAGTATGTAGCTATATATATATATATATATCGTAAAAGCATGTAATGCAAGATAGTTTGAAAAATGTATTATGATCGGTATTGTTGTTAAAGCTAATTAACGAGTACCTCGGTTAAAGTTACGATGAAATAAGGGTTCCTCGCGGGTAAGCAAGAAAATTATGCTACGAAGTAGTAAGTGAGCAATGTAAATGGAGCCGAGCGAAAGTAAAAGGTAAAAGGTAAAATTGTAAGTGGGGGGGGAAGAAATACGAGAATTCTCATTCTCGATTATTCTCCTAGATGCTAGATAACTTTTCTCGACTGCGCTCCTATCTTATTTCTCGTTGATCCCAACGACGAAGGGGTTCCAAGCCGAACTTTTTCGAGTTCGTACCGACAACTTACTAACGGGAAAAGATTTCCTTAGAGTCCGAAGTCTTCCCGAGAATTCAAACTAAACCGAATTTCACTGTTTTTTCTTTCTTTCTTTTTTACCTTTTAATTAAACCAACGTTACACGCGCGGTAACCCGTTTAGTTAGATCTACGTCATACGTGAATTAATTTCAATGTCAATCTCATTTGTTAAATTTCAACTAAATTTGATTTCTTATTTTTCTCAATTATACTATTATCAAATACTAATTTTTACAACATTACATTTATCTATTCTGTATTATAGAAGAAAATTACCTGTAGATTCTTAGAGATCGAATTCAAACGTTAGTTAATTAAGTTTTTATTCCAAACTAACACACGTTTAATGAACATTCCGTTTTATTCTAAGTACACTTTCTTCCAATTATGATCTTTCCGAAGTTAAATCGTCAATCAAAAAATAACAATCGAGATACTAATTGTAGGAAAAAGAATAAGAATAAAAAGAAGAAAAGAAAATATAGATCTATGTATACATATATATATATATATATATATATGTATATATATATATATATATACACACACCCACACAGCACACGCGCGAATATAAGAGTTCTTTTCGTTTTTTCCTTTTCTTTTTTTTCTTCTTCTCATTCTTATCTATCTAGCTATCTATCTCTCTATCCATCTATCCGTCTATTTCTCTGTCTTTTCAACCCTGGTCGTCTCCTCCACCTCCTCCACCTCCTCCACCTTCTCCTTCTTCTTCTTCTTTTTCTTTTTCCTTTTCTTTCTCCGCCTCCTATTTAACCTGAGACGTCGAGAAGTGGCGGCTCGCTAAGTCCAGATGGAAGAAAAATATTATTCGCTTGAATCCTTTTATCGGAAGATCTATTTTTCAGAGTTAATATCCTTCGGTCGGAGACTCGTGGGTGGGTGGGTGGTGGTTGGGTGTTCTCCGAGACGTGAAAGATCGTGAGAATTGTGGGGTGGTGTTGGAAAAGGGTGCGAGATAGAAGATAGGGGTGAAATCGATGTAAGAGAAAGAAATTGCTAAGAACGTGGAAGAAACCTCCTAATGTCTATCTTCTAAACGTAACTTTTCTGAGTCTGTATTCGTTTCCGTAAAGTATTAACTATACGTATGTGTATGTGTGTGTGTGTGTCTGTGTACGTTCACAGATCATAAGCAATTACAAAGATAAGTCGTTGGAGTTTTCGTTTGATTGCTTTCAGGAACCGATTAAATGATCAATCATGACCGTTTAAACAAACCATCATCTCATCTTCCTATTTTATACAAATAGAAAAACGTTTTAGCGTTTTAAACGAATTGTTATCTCGCGTGAATGTGTTTTTTTTTTTTTTTTTTTCTTACAAATCTAAAGTAATACATTTTAATCGTTATTTTTTCGTTTAAACGTTCATACGAATAACGCAAAGCTTTGTAATAAATAACAAATACAAAAATATGTTGAATAACATTGGGAACGATATTCTTTGAGAAACGACATTTCATTTATAAAAGGGGCTGTTAATTTAATAAGTATTAAGTTGTCCCGTTAAGTTCCTACCTTTTTTTTTATGCGAATTCAATGGACGATATTTAGTATTTAAAAGAGAAAGAGAGAGAGAGAGAGAGAGAGAAA